GGATTACAGCACCATGCGCCTTCTTTTTGAATGTGATTTTTCTTCAATCCCTCATTGAAGAAAAATCACATTCAAAAAGGCGGAGGGGGCGGAATATTTGACAAATTACGCTACAGCACTTATATGTTTGCACTGATTGGCTATTAACTGTGAGCAGACAGAGTGTCAATCAATGCATTGGAGAATACAGTGAACATAAATGAAAAGAAACGAAGTTGCTTGTCAAGTTTTCCTAACAAGCAACCATATTTTTTTTAAATAAGCCCAAAAAACCGCAACCCGGGATTTTTTCACGCAACTTTACAAAAAAAGAAGATCTGGATTGGGGGGGGGAATTGCCTGTATTAGTTGTAAGGCCTCATGCACCGAACCGATGTACGTACCGTGACGGTTCAGTACGAATACATGTATCGTTCCACCCCTACTTTTTAGTAGTTTTTTAGTACTTCAAGTTAAACCAAATGAAAATTAGAAATCCTTCCTTGTCAACTAGTTGAAATAAAATAAGTTTATTTATATTTTATTTATTTACATTTTTATAATGTATACTTTCAGAAGATTATATATATTCATAATTTCGGCTCTGTATGCACAGAACAGAAATAAAATGAAACAATCAAGATGAAATTGAAGTGCAGACTTGAAGCTTTAATGCAAGGGGTTGAACAAAGTTATAAAATAAAATGCTTAGGAATTACAACCATTTTTATACACAGTCCCCCCATTTTCAGGGGCTCAAATGTAATTGGACAAATAAATGTAATCATAAATAAAAAATTGTCTAAAACATTTTTGATATTTTGTTGCAAATCCTTTGCAGGCAATGACTGCCTTACGTCTGGAGCTCATGGACATCAGCAGAGACTGGGTTTCTTCTTTGTGATGCTTTGCCAGGCCTTTACTGCAGCCTCTCCATGGTAAAGAAAAACCCTTTCACAACATCCAGTGACGTTAAGAACACTCTCCAGGAGGCAGTCGTGTCTCTGTCAAAGTCTACAATCAAGAGAAGACTTCACCAGAGCAAATACAGAGGCTTCACCACAAGCTGCAAACAAGACCAGATTAGACTTAAAAAACATCTAAAAAGCCAGACCACTTCTGGGAAAGCATTCTTTGTATGGCTGGAATTAAGATAAACCTGTCCCAGAATGACGGAAAGAAAAAAGTACGGAGAAGGCTTGGAGCAGCTCATAATCCAAAGCACACAACATCCTCTGTGAAACATGGAGCAGTGTGATGCATGAGCGTGCATGGCTTCAGTGGCTCTGGGTTACTGCTGTTTAGTGATGATGAGACAGAAGCAGCCGGATGAACTCTGAAGGGTATAGAGATATACTCTCTGCTCAGATTCAGCCAAATATCAACCTGTACCAGAATGACGGGAAGAAAAAAGTCTGGCGACGGCTTGGAGCAGCTCATGATCCAAAGCACACAACATCCTCTGTGAAACATGGAGCAGTGTGATGCATGAGCGTGCATGGCTTCAGTGGCACTGGGTTACTGGTGTTTAGTGATGATGAGACAGAAGACAGAAGCAGCCGGATGAACTCTGAAGTGTACAGGGATATACTCTCTGCCCAGATGCAGCCAAATGCAGCAAAGTTGATTGGACGGCGCTTCATAGTACAAATGGATGGTGACCCAAAACATACAGCAAAAGCAACCCAGGAGTTTTTGAAGGTAAAAAAGTGGAATATTCTGCGATGGCCAAGTCGATCTCCTGATCTCAACCCGATTGAGCTGCATTTCACTTACTGAAGACAAAACTAAAGGCAGAAAGATCCACAAACAAACAACAACTGAAGTCAGCTGCAGTAAAGGCCTGGCAAAGCAGCACAAAAGAGAAACCCAGTCTCTGCTGATGTCCATGAGTTACAGACTTAAGGCAGTCATTGCCTGCAAAGGATTCTCAACAAAATATTAAAAATGAACATTTTATTTATGATTATATTTATTTAGCCAATTACATTTGAGCCCCATGAAAATGGGGGGACTGTATATAAAAATGGTTGTAATTCCTAAGCATTTGATCTTATTTTTAATTCTGTTCTGGTGGTATACAGAGCCAAAATTATGAAAATTTTGTCAGTATATACTGTACACTTGTTGGAAAAAACAGCTTGTTGCTGGAAAAGCTGCTCTGTTTTGAAAACAGCTGATCTACTTTTAGTTATTCCTTGACACTCGTTACATAAACCACAACACACAGACAGACAGACAGAAGGATGGAACAGACAGACAGACGGATGAACAGACAGACAGACGGATGAACATACAGACAAATGGACAGATAGACAGATGGACGGACAGAAGGATGAACAGACAGACAGACAGACAGAC